TTAAATCTGTGTTCAGAAAGATAAACTGATTCTTCTACTAAGGCTGTTCCATCTCTGAAATTTTAAATTCTAAAACAGAGAGGTTCTATTCATTCATTCTACTAGATTGATTAATCAAAGTCAGTTAAAGTGGGAAATTATAAGTACTATATATATGCTTTCAACACTTTATTCTAACTTAGAACATGTAAAGGTACAACTACTTCCAGTAGAGGGCCAGGACCTTTGCTTAAGTGTGAAGTCCTTGATTCTTGAATAACCACAGCCTTATTGAATTGTCCATGGACTTCAGCTTAGCTTTTTAAAAATAGAACAAGAGGGCTGGCCGGTTAGCTCAGTTGGTTAGAGCACAGCCTTGTAACACCAAAGTTAAGGGTTTGGTTCCCCATACTGGCCAGCTGCCAAAAACAAAAAATCCCCTAAGAATTAAAATAGAACAAGAACTTCAGTATTCTTACAAGATAACCTCAGCATGGACTCTATTGTTAGAATCTTTTTCGGATTTTTTACATCATAGCATAATGGTTAAGAGCACAATCGCTCAAGCGAGACTGGGCTTAAATCCTGGATGTGCCGTTTTCTAATTTAAACTAGTTGCTTAGCTTCTTTGTGCCTCAGTTTCTTCAGTACCCACTTCAGAGAGTCATTGTGAGGATCAAATAGATTATGTAAAGGCTTAATGCCTAACACGGAGTAAAGATTCAATAAACGTGAACTGTTTTCCAGTTGTCTCACCCACACCCAATTCAACGGCATTTTAAAAAGAGATTTACCTTTGTTAAGTCTTTCCAAAGCATTTGATTTCATGTTCTCAACTGGTAGAAGTATATGGGTGTGCAAGAGAGTAGCCTACCAGCCAGGAGCACTCAGAGTAGTGGCCATTAACTGGTAAGTGTTACTGTGGGAATGGGAAGTTTCAGTGAACCTAGTAGGTCAGTCAAGAAGAGGTCATTAAGAGAGCATCTATCTTGGACGACCACCTCTGGTCTTCCAGCTTCCTGTCTCCCTTGCTGCTAAGATCACTGTGTTTTTATCCCATCACCTTCCTAGACCCAGGTCAGACCTTTAATCTCCCTAAGCACCAAAAAAGAGAATGTTCCCTTATGTAACTTAAAATAAAAACAATACTAACTTATAAAAGAAGCTTAGGGAAGTTCAATAAAGTTCTGACTTTCCCCATGATGATTATGTCATTGCTTTTTTAAAAAATTTAAATTCTTTCTAAAAAAAAAATGTTGTGGGGGTTCACTTTACTTGTGCCCTTACTGGGTAATCTGTTCGGTAATCCGGCATTGCCTTTGACTCTTCCATTTTTTCCCAACCTCTCAGCCTCCTCCCAGAATTGCTTCTTTCCCTAATGAGTCTGGATCTCATGATCCATCACTTCAAACTGCTCTCTTGCTGATATCTTCCATCCCATTTACTTATACACTTGTCCTTATACAGAATCTATGCAATAAACCCCCAAACATTGGATATGTTGAATTTGAGGTGACTTTGCATCTTCCAGACAGATATGTCCCATAGGTAACTGGACACAAAATCTGAAACCTGAGAGACAAAGTAAAGGAAGATGAAGAGATTTGGGAATATTCAACAAATAAGTGGGATTTGATCCCGTGCAAGTAGGTCATATCACCAAAGAAGGGCATATAGAGTGGGAAGAGCATGGCTGAGGTGAGAAGTCTGGTCGACACCACTGTGTTAGGGGTTAGGTGGAGCAGGAGCTGCCGATGAAAGAAGGAACATCCACATGCAAGGAAGCCTGGATCCAAGGAAGGAGAGTTCAAGAAGGAGCGGTCACTGGTATCAAATGTAACAAAGAGGTGAGGTAAGATTTGGCAGTGCCTGGCACCTAGTAGGCACTCAGCGCATACTTGTTAACTGAAATTAGGACAGAAATGATTAGGAAGTCATTGGTGATCTTGATGCTTAGTTTGAGTTTTCTTAGAAGCAGACCTTGAGAAAAGGATTAGTTTATTTGAAAGATGAAGGAACTTAGGTGTGCATGGTAGGGGGATTGGCAGTCAGTAAAGGCTGAGTCACACCAGCAGCCACAGTGGGCAATTAGAGCTTAAACCCACTGGGAAGGTTCTGGAAGTTAGTGCAGAACACTCACCTCATAGCTACCCTCTCAAAGGGTGAGGGAGCTAGGGTATTTATATTCCAACTCTTTCAGGTCACTGGTTAAGGTCTGCGCTTAGAGGGCATTAATTCACTGACATTTCCAGCCCACTGGTTGGGCAGCAAAGCAGACCCTGGGTGCAAGAGGAAGCCCTCAGGCAAATGAATGCAAGTTCTGGCCACTGGAAGTCTGGTGTTCACTCAAGTGTAGTAAGGGCAGGGGATATGGGCAGGGCAGCAAAAGAACCCATGACACTTGTTATTCGCAGTTTCAGTGGCAGAAACTAAACTGCTATGGATTGATAGTAAATTAGAAGTGAGAAGTGGAGAAAATGAGTGTAGATAACTATTTCAATGTTTGGCTGAGAAAAGAAAACAAAGGATATGTCAATAGGCTGACCTGTGTAGGGTAAGAAAGAAGAGCAGGGTGTAATGGGAGACCAGAACCTCCCCATGATATTTATTGAGGGAACTCACCACATTTCTTCATTTTTAGTTAGGATGAGAAGCAGTTAGCAGTACTAACTACTTCTTACTGTAGGATCGTTCTTCACCTTTCTTGGACAGCATCCAGTGTTTCTTTTGCTGGCCTTTGGATCCTGGGTTCCCTGGCTGCAGAAGCCCTGCTGAGCTAGCCTTTTCTAGCCTCCCATACTCAGCAATTCTAAGCCTGCAGAGCCAAAGGAATAGACAGGGTATAGGTGCAGAGCAGATTGGGGCAGATGCGGAGCACAGGGGCTAGACTCTGAACCCAAGGAGAAGCACAAGGTTGGAGGAGACATGCTTCTGAGTGACTTCCGCTGAGTGGCTCCTTGCATTCCTTGCCTTCCCCTCTCATGTCGGCAAATCTCAATAGCTTGTTTGGTTTGAGCATAATAGGCATAACCCCAAAAGAAACCTTCCTGTGACATTCACCTAAAGCATGGCTCTTTGATTGATGTCTATCTCTTAGCTAAAGCATAAGCTCATGAGGGCAGGGACTATATTCATTTCAGCACTATTGTGTCCCTAGTGCCTGGCCCCTGGTCAGTACTCAATAAATACTTGCTTAATACGGAAACAAACAAAAAAAGAAAAACAAAAAAACAGTTAATGCTGTCTATTGATGGCGTCTAAACCGAGAAAAAGGTAAAGCAGAGATTTTTATCCCCCTAGAAGAAGATTTTCTGTGAAGCTGACAAAATTTAAACTTAAGGGTCCGTTACTTGCATGGACTCCTTTCAAAACCCTGGGAGGGGCCTTAGGAATATTTTTACATGGTCACATTTTTTTAATTTGCAAAGATAAAATAACCTTAATCAAAATTAAGACCACTGGGGCCGGCCCGGTGGCGCACTGGAGAGTGCGCCGCTTGGGAGCATGGTGGCGCTCCTGCCGAGGGTTCGGATCCCATG